GGTCATTAAATGCTCAATTTTAATTTTCTTTGGAGCAATAGTGATCTGTTTTTTTTTACTATGAAAATGTATTACTGCTTTTTTAATTATAAACTATTTTATATTGTCATAGCGTTTTCAACTCAGTTTGTGGTCTAACTATTTGCACATAATTGGGGACCCTAACAGGTGCTACCACCACGGGTCAGCGTGGACGTGGGTGCAACAAGAATTAAGAGGTCGTTCCACGCTCCTCAAAACCTCCAATCTCCCGATCAGAGGCCTCGATCATTTTGTTACCATAGCTGACCATTTAAGAACTGGCCAACCAGAATAATTTCCAGCTTCTCAAAATCACCCGATCAGACGCCTTGCTCCCGGATGTAGTTTATCGTCATACGCAGGACGGGGTTTGATGAAAAGTATACAATTCAGACTGTTAGGTACTCACCAAGCCAGAGTTTTTTTGTGGCACCATGTCCACATCTGGAACCGTTAGACGCTTGGGCTTGCCTCCAGTAAAAATGATGGACATTTCAAGGTGTGAGGAAATACTTCAGGATAAACTGAAACTACACAAGCATATTCATCATTGCACAATTTTTATGCATGACAGTGTTTCATGTCTCCGTTCAAAGGTTATGCTGAATCTTTCGAACAGGGAAAAAAAAAGCATCCTAGATCTGAACCCAATTGAAAAATGAAGTGAGAAAAAAGTTGCTGAAAAACGAAATCCACGTATGGAAGCACAGAAAAGCTATTAAAGAAACTTGAACAAAAAGAAATCTCTTTTGACCTTTGTAACAAATGGGTCCGTCGACCCCAGACAGCTGTCAAAAGCAAAGGGGGTCATGCAATATACAAACCACTGTGGTCCATCTGGCTTGAAATGAATAGAGAACATCCTCGTGTACAAATTAGTATCTCATAAATGGTATTTATCAATCCACCCACGGGGATCGAATGTGGCACAAGGCCTTTTTAATGTGGGTATCTCTGAGCCCGTAGGCCCAGCCAAAAATAAATAACCATCCAAACCCGCCGAGGCGGGCAAGTTCCGTCAACCTCCCCCAACGAAACCCTACCCTTAGGCGGAGCTTCGTCCGGGTTCCTCTCTGCAAGCAGTGAGTTCGACAGACACCCGACCCGGCAGCTCACAAAGCGCAGATACTACACTTTGATCCTAGCCACCGGGCCGAGTATTAGTATCTCATAAATTAAATTGTTATTGATTTGTATTGTATTTTTCGTCTAGCGGCATATCAACAAATCTATGGGTTATTAATACCGAAATCTAAATATTTTGCACGAACTTTTATGACTTCAGCTACATATAACACCTATAACAGGAGAATTATCCAAATCTTGTAACAGTAAATTGTCCAATTGTTAGAATAATCTTTGAACCTTTGTATCTTAGAAATGATAAAATTATTTTACTGTAATTCATCGAGATTTTAAAAGCACTATTGAACTCTACTTTGAGCAACGTATGTATAATTACTCTCCAAGCTTAAGATGATCTTCGCCCTCTCTAACCTTCTATCTTTCTGTGCTAGAATAACAAGGTGTCTCACACGTTTCACGCACGATTTCATTTTCAAGTTTTTTTTCGCTGCTCTTTGGACTGTCATAACTGAAACTTCTCTCTCGCATGTCAAAGGTTTATGGATTGAGTTGGATCTTTTCTAATTTATCTCTTTAGCTCTAAGTTGAAATGAGGATCCCTCTTCTTGTTGTTACCTCCTCATTCAGGTTTCCTCTTTAAAGTTCCCTCTTTTTTAAACTTATTCACCGTTCTCTTGATGGACGCCAGAGTATGAATGTTGGTATCCTTAATGAAGGTCTGAATGATCTTATTTCCTCTCACCATTTCTCAGTTGGGAAGAGGGTGGGTTTAACACAAAACGAAATGTTCTATTTCTGGCTGAATAACTTAAAGAGTTTTTCAGTGATTCTTACTACAAATGGTGTGAAGATGGCCAGACGTTTTATCTGAAAAACTCGAAAAGCAACTCAATTTGATGTAGTTTATCGTCATACCCAGGACTATTATTTTTTTATTGTTGAAGAATAATATCTGGATTAATAACAGAAATCCTTTTAAATTTTTGTTTAACTGTTGGTAGGTTCTTTTAGAAAATGTACCAAACCAATTATATTTATCGGTACCAACCTATGCAAGGCAGTAAAGCCACTCAGACTCAAGGGGTTACATGGTAGGGAAGAATTAGGGAGGGAAACATTAATAATGAACGGGAAGAGAAAATAGTAATCAGGAGGACAGTAGATAGCGATTGGCATTTAAATTTTGGCAGATTAAAGTTGGCTAAAAAGCATGGAGTCGAAAGGGAGTACCACAAATGAGAAGTGTGAGAAAAGAAACTATTAGCATAGAAGGTATGGCTGCATCTAGCCAGCTCAACTGTAAATTGAGATCTCGTCACCAATCTAGAAGTTAAATTCAAAAGTCTATGTAACATAGCGTAAGGCTTATTCGAACAATTACTATGAAAGTTTTTATAGAAATAATCAAAGCGGGAACCTTGCAACAGTGGGAAATTGACTGAAGACGGTCCGCTAGATCAGGAGCAATAATAATGCTGATTCTTATTTGGATTTTATCAAGGAGCTGAAGATAAATAGAAGGAGTACCGGACCATATGTGGCAGCAATATTCTAAATACATACCAACTGTAGACTTATAGATATGTAAAACCGATTCTTATTTCTTGTATGTAAGATCGATTCGATAACAGGATATGAAATATGAGTTAATAAAGTAAAGCAAAGGCATTGTTGAATGGCGGGAATCTCTTCTCTCCAAGAGTGTATTTTGGAGTTTAATAGGAAAAACCTTACAAAACAGGAATTTAGGTTACTTGTGACCGTTCGTTAGAAACAGAATACAAGAGATAATTTAGCCAGGATTACAAAATCTTTCACTATTTTAATTTTAGATGTGAAACTAGTGACACTATTAAAGAAAAATATATCTACAATCTGTTGTGAACTGGGGAAAATAATGGCTTTTTAATTTCAAGACGAAAAACAAAATAGCTCTTTTTGAAGCATCAATAGAGAATTGTTCTGCATTCCATCAGCTTTACTGATCCTAATCTCCAGGAGATTAACTCATTGCGTTTTCTCAAATTAAAGTTTTCTGTTGACATGAAGTGGAAATATTATATTGAATCGATTTTTAACTATATATTTTGCCTTCACAGATTAAACATGGTTTTATCGCAATAAGAAAGAACTGACTTTTTTTCCTAGGGTATACTAAAGAAGAAGGTGTACTCAATGAAAATCACAGATGCAACACACTTGACTAATGCATAAAGAGTAGATTGTCTAAAATTAACGGAAGAGTTTTTGCATCGAGTTTGAAAAACTTGCAATACTATCCTGCCAAACACATAAAACTTTACATCACAAATGATATAAATTATATTGAAGTTCATATTTATTAATATTCCAGTTCAATAAAATGTTGAAAATTTCATTTCTTGAAAATATATATATATTGGCTATCTGACCTGTCTTTAGGTACAGCCTGTAAATTGACGGTAAGACCTCGTCATATTACAGTTGAAATGGCTAGATGTAACCGTAAGTTCTATGCTAACACTTTCTTCTTCCGTACTTCTTCGTTGTGGAAATATCTGCCGGCGTCTTACTTTCCAGCCAAATTTGATCTTCAAAAATTTAAGTGTAATGTTTAATTAATTCCTGTTCTTTTATTGTTCTCGCTCCTTAATAATGTTCTTCTTTTTCTCATATATTCTCACCCGTCCTGGTTATGACGATAAACTATATTGGGCAGAAAGATCTCTGCTCGGATGGTTTAAGAAATCTCAACACGCCTTAATTTCTGTTGTTCCCAGGTCCACGCTGACCCGGGGTGGTAGCATTTGTTAGGTGCCCAGCTATGAGCAAATAGTTAACCCCCAAACTGGTGTCAAAAGACTATAAAAATATAGAAATGGATTTTTATAGTAAAAATAATAGCAATGCATTTCTCAAAAAAGATTAACAACAATACATTTGATTCTCGGCATAAACTTTACAAAAATACGTCAATAAAAACTTATCTACAAATTGATTTCTTTCAAAGAATACATATTCTATACATACGAATCTATCCTAAAAATATTGTCAACCTTGATTTACCCATTGAACTTCATTTGCCGTAAAAAGAAATAAAACAAACTAACCCAAACTCTCTACAAACCCTCTTTACAAAAATATATCAATGAAACCTGAGCTACAAATTGGTTTCTCATAAAGAATGAAATACTCAAATTATACGAACCTATCCTAAAAATAATGTCGGCAATAAATAATTCGTTGAGGTGCTGATATGCTGTAAAACAAAATAAATCAATCAAACTAGACACTCTAAAAACACTCTTTACAAAAATAATTCTGCAAATTGATTTCTGACAAAGAATATATATTCTATTATTACGAACCTATCCAAAAAATATTGTCGGCATTAAAAAACCCATTGAGGTACTGATATGCCGTAAAACAAGATAAACCAAACCGATTTTCTCACAATCATTACGTCTTAGTAGACGTAATGCCTTCCTTGGGGTGAAGTGATTCAAGTGAAAGAATTCATGAAAATCACTGCAGAATTCTGTTGCCAGCAATTTGATTTCGCAAACGAAGAATAACGTTGAAAATCTATTATTCAAGGCGACAGACTGCAAAACAATTGCTTGAAAAACGAAAAAGCAAAAAGATCTTTAGGATGGGAATTTCTTGGATTTTCAGGATGCTGACCAGAATTGTAACCTACAGATATTCATAGGTTCCGATCATTTCAAAAGTGACATATTATTCAGAAACAAAGAACATGAAAACAGTCTGTCAAGATTTCTTTTTCTTCTCAGGGGAAATCCTAGATTTATTTGAATGGACAATGGAAAATCGATCTTCCTGTTGGGCGTGAGTCGTTGAAAATAAAGTTATTCATATCCTTGATAAATAAGATTTAGATAATTGCATTACAGTCTCATCACTTCTATCTATCTATCTATCTATCTATCTATCTATCTGGCCCCGTAGACAAAGCCAGAAATTCGAATGAGATTCAAGCTAAGACAGGACATTTACCAAATCTATCTATCTATCTATCTATCTATCTATCTATCTATCTATCTGCCCCGTAGATAAAGCCAGAAATTCGATGAGATTCAAACTAAGACAAGACATTTACCAACTCTATCTATCTATCTATCTATCTATCTATCTATCTATCTATCTATCTATCTGGCCCTGTAGACAAAGCGAGAAATTCGAATGAGATTCAAGCTAAGACAGGACATTTATCTATCTATCTATCTATCTATCTATCTGCCCCGTAGACAAAGCCAGAAATTCGATGAGATTCAAACTAAGACATTAACCAAATCTATCTATCTATCTATCTATCTATCTATCTATCTATCTATCTATCTATCTATCTGCCCCGTAGACAAAGCCAGAAATTCGATGAGATTCAAACTAAGACATTTACCAAATCTATCTATCTATCTATCTATCTATCTATCTATCTATCTATCTATCTCAACACTGATTTCCCCAGTAATGGCATGATCTTGCATTTCACGACAGGCAAGTAATCATTGTTGTTAACATAAATTTTGCATACAAAAAGAGAAAAGAATAGAACAAATACTGATTTACAGAGATGCTCACTGTTTAAAATTTTTCCATCTTCCTCGGTATTTTTACAACATTTTATACGCCTTTTATGATTTTTCTTCTTTTTACATCTTATTTTCTTGTTTTATCACTTATCTTCTTCTTATCACTTTTTCATTTTATTTGTCACCTTTTCTTCCTTTTCATCATTTCTTTTTTATCGCATTTTCTTCTGTTGTTTTTGTTATAACATAGGCAAGGTTACTGAATAGAATAATCAAACGAAGGTTGGTAATGAACGATAATACTTTAGACAAGAACAACACATATAAGATTCGTCAGCAGCGCGTAGAAGTAGTCGACTGCTAGAAGTGAGTCGAGCAAATTCCACAATGAATTTCCAACGGCAGGATATCTGCCACCCGGCCCACGCGTTCAGATGTGGCACAAGGCCGAATTTAATGTGGGGTTTCCGAGCCCGTAGGTTCGGCCAAAATTTCCCCGTAGACCCGTTATAAAACTGGGTCGAGTAGTTGTTTCCAGACACGAGACTCTACCCCTCGAGAGTTTGGCGAGGACACTTTTATCACTTTTCCTTCTTTTTATCACGTTTCCTTCTTTTTATCACTTTTCCTTTCTTTTTATCATATTCTTTTATTCTTTTTTTATCACATTTTCTTTTTTTCACTTTTTTCTTTTCTCCAGCTGTTGCGCCATTTTTATTTACTTATACTCATTATCACTTTTTCAACCAATTCGACATCGAAATCCGAAGGCGCTTTCAAATAAAGAAATATGCCTTGCAAAAGTTAAGAAAAGTATTAATTTCATTAGAAACAAAGAAAATAATGCCGAACTGTTATCAGTCCTCCTATATACTCATAAAGAAGATGCTTCAGGTGAATAATATGTGGTTCTACAGAAGGACGCTGAGAGTACCATGACCCGAACGTGTAAGTAACGAGATCAAGAGGACACTTATGTTTAACATCAGGAAAAGTCTATTTAAATTTCAAAAGTGCAATTTAAAAAGACTGCTTCGAGAAACCCACAGAACATACGGAAGGCATTCAATAACGTGTTTGTGTATTTTTTAATCATTTCACCACAAGCAAGGCGATAAATCCACTAAGCCATAAGAGGTTAATGAGTGTGAAATACTAAAAAAAAAAAACATTATTAAGAAGCAAAAACATTAAAAGGAGAGGATTCAAAAAGTCAGTAGATCATGATTGACGTTGCATTCACACGTTTGGAAATCAAAGTTGGCTGGTAAACAAGGAGCCGGAAATGGGTTTCACAACTCAGAAGAGTGATAGAAGAAACTATTATCATAGAACTTGCGGTTACGTCTAACCATTTAACCTGTGAGATGAGGAGACCTTGCAACCAATCTAGTACTGCGCTTATATTCATAAAGTCTAGGTACCACAGAAGAAACTTCATCAGAAAAATTAACATGAAATAAAGAAATACAGGGAAACAACGTTACGGCGATGGGAAAGTGACTGATGACGAGGTGCCAGGTCAGGATCAATAATATTGCGCAGTGTTCTATGGATTTTATTAAGAAACTCTAAGTATACAGCAGGAACATCGTACTAGATGTAGCAACACTATTCAATGCATGGACGAATGGTAGATTTATAGATATGTAAGATAGATTCTAGCGAAAGAAATTGTCTAGCGCGACACAGTGAGCCAACTTTTCTTTCAGCAGATCTATCACTTGATTCAGTATAATATGTTCACTTCATGCCAACCGGAAACGTATTTTGATGAAAGCGCCATGAGTCACTCTACCTGGAGGCTTGTATCATCCATGCTGACGGGAGGTAAAAGTCGTATCTCGCAGACGATTAAAAGTGACTATTTTCGTTTGGGAGGAGTTGAAATTTGCAAGACATTTTAAATCATGGACTAAAATTAGACTTATCAATATGTAAAATAGAGTCGTAGACATATTGGGAAATCCAAGGACGCATTCCAAGAGTTTACGAGACAGGAGGAGGATTTCTTTGGTAACAACAACAACAAAAAAGAGTACTGAACTGCTACGTGGCATTTGTCCTCCTTTACGGCAGCGAATGTTGGACGGTCTCGTCAAAGATGAACAAGAGACTCGAGGCGACGGAGATGTGGTTCTACAGAAGGATGCTGAGGATATCATGGACTGAGCGAGTAAGCAACGATGAGGTCTTGGAATTGATGCAAAGAAGGAGGCTTAGAGTTTACATCAGGACAAGGCAGCTAAAGTTTCTGGGACACGTAATAAGAAAGGAGGGCCTGGAGAATCTGATACTCACAGGTCGAACAGAAAAAGAGAAAAGGAAAAGCAACGCATGACATAGCTGCGGGGCTTAAGCAAGTGGATGACAGAACGTAGTCTAGGCGAAGTTGCAAAGAGACGAAACTTATTGAGAGCTACAAGAGATGGGGGGGAAGGGGAGAGCAATGATCGCCTACGTCCTGAAAGGACACGGCACATAAAAAGAAAAGAACACGACATAGGGAACCAACTCGTTCGCAGAACAAGGATTCAGTGGGATAGAAAAAAAAACCTTTACTAAGCGCTATAAATAAAGTTGTGGAAACAATGAATACCCACGTCCCACTCGGACACAGTACGACGACGACAAAGAAGAAGAAGAAGAAGGAGGAGGAAGAGGAGGAGGAGGTTCAGTATTTTCGTTTTGGAGGCTTTAAAATTAAGAAGGCATTCCTTGTCCCAGTTAACAGCCGACTATAGATAATTTTTTACATTATCTACCAATTTGATGAAGAATAGACGTGAAGCAAAGAAATGTCGTTCTACAGCAGGATGAATGCCGTTGAGAATGCAGCGTTGGAAAAAAATTCCTCTAAACATGTGACCAGACGTTAAAAGAGAAAAAAATTCCTCAGAGTGAGAAAGGAAGTAATGAAGTAAAAACAATGAGAATGACCAATCCGGACCAGACAAATAACAAATAAGAAGAAGAAGAAGAAGAAGAAAAAGAAGAAAAGCAAAGAAGAAGAAGAAGAAGAAGAAGAAGAAAAGAATAATGAAGTAAAAACAAAGAAGAATGAAGAAGAAAAGAAGAATAATGAGGAAGAAGAAGAAGAAGTAAAGAATAAAAAAGAAGAAAAGAAGAAGAAGAAGAAGAAGAAGAAGAAAGGAATAATGAAGGAAAAGCAAAGATAAGTGAAGAAGAAAAGAAGAACAATGAGGAAGAAGAAGAAGAAGTAAAGAATAAACAGAAGACGAAGAAGAAGAAGAAGAAGAAAGGAATAATGAAGTAAAAATAAAGAAGAATGAAGAAGAAAAGAAGAGGAAGAAGAAAAGTAAAGAATAAAAAAAAGAAGAAGAAGGAAGAAGAAGAAGAAGAATAATGAAGGAAAAAAAAAGGAAGAAGAAGAAAAGAAGAATAAAGAAGAAGAAGAAGTAAAGAATAAAAGAAGAAGAAGAAGAAGAAGAAGAAGAATGAAGGAAAAGTGAAGGAAAAGAAAAAAAGAATAAAGGAAGAAGAAGAAGAAGAATGAAGAGGAAGAAGAAGAAGAAGAAAAGAATGAAGGAAAAGAAAAAGAAGAAGAAGAAAAGAAGAAGAAGAAAAGGAATAATAAACAAAGAAGAAAAAGAAGAAAGAAAGAAGAAGAAAAGTAAAGAAGAATGAAGGAAAAGAAGAAGAAGAATGAAGAAGAAGAAGTAAAGAATAAAAAAAGAGGGAAAAAAGAAAAAAAATAATAAAAAAAAGCAAAGAAGAAGAAGAAGAAAAAAAGAAGAATAGAAGAAGAAGAAGGAAAAATAAAAAGAAGAAGAAGAAGAAGAAGAAGAAAGAAGAATAATGAAGGAAAAGTAAAGAAGAAGAAGAAGAAGAAAAGAATGAAGAAGAAGAAGAAGAAGAAGAAGAAGAAGAAGAAGAAGAAGAAGAAAGAAAGAATAATGAAGGAAAAGAAGATGAATGAAGAAGAAAAGAAGAATAATGAGGAAAAGAAGAAGAAGAAGAAAAGAATAAACAGAAGAAGAAGAAGAAGAAGAAGAGGAAGAAGAAGAAGTAAAAGAAGAAGAAGAAGAAAAGAAGAATAATGAGGAAGAAGAAGAAGAAGAATAAAAAGAAGAGGAAAAGAAGAAGAAGAAGAAGAAGAATAAAGAATAAAAGCAAAGATGAGTGAAGGAAGAATAAAGAAGAAGAAGAAGAAGTAAAGAATAAACAGAAGAAGAAGAAGAAGAAGAAGAAGAAAGGAATAATGAAGGAAAAGTAAAGAAGAATGAAGAAGAAAAGAAGAATAATGAGGAAGAAGAAGAAGTAAAGAATAAAAAAGAAGAGGAAGAAGAAGAAGAAGAAGAAGAAAGGAATAATGAAGGAAAAGCAAAGATGAGTGAAGAAGAAAAGAAGAATAATGAGGAAGAAGAAGAAAAGTAAAAAGAATAAATGAAGAAGAAGAAGAAGAAGAATAATGAGGAATAAGAAAAAGTAAAGAAGAATGAAGAAGAAAAGAAGAATAATGAGGAAGAAGAAGAAGAATAAAAAGAAGAGGAAAGAAGAAGAAGAAGAAGAAAGGAATAATGAAGAAAAGAAAAGTGAAGAAGAAAAAGAAGAATAATGAGGAAGAAGAAGAAGAAGTAAAGAATAAAAGAAGAAGAAGAAGAAGAAGAAGAAAAAAGAATAATGAAGGAAAAGAAGAAGAAGAAGAAAAGAAGAATAATGAGGAAGAAGAAGAAGTAAAGAATAAAAAAGAAGAGGAAGAAGAAGAAGAAGAAGAAGAAGAAGAAAGGAATAATGAAGGAAAAGCAAAGATGAGTGAAGAAGAAAAGAAGAATAATGAGGAAGAAGAAGAAGAAGTAAAGAATAAACAGAAGAAGAAGAAGAAGAAGAAGAAGAAGAAAGGAATAATGAAGGAAAAGTAAAGAAGAATGAAGAAGAAAAGAAGAATAATGAGGAAGAAGAAGAAGTAAAGAATAAAAAAGAGGA